CTCCTCCTCCTCCTCCTCCTCCTCCTCCTCCTCCTCCTCCTCCTCCTCCTCCTCCCTCCTCCTCTTCCTCCTGACACTGCCCAACAAAGTCTGTTCAACACACGCACTACCCTACCCCCTGAACTTCGGCGGCAGCGCGACCATGAAGTAGGCGAAGGCGAGGCCAGCGGGCGCGCCCTCGGCGCAGCTAGGCCGCCGCAGCAGCCCGCAGTTCAGCTGCCCGCCTGGCGCCGTCCACGCCCATCGCGGAGCGCAGCTGTCGGGCTGTGGCCTGGTGGAGAGCTACGCTGAGCTCCCGCCCCCACCTGGCCACCAGCTGTCCGGCCAGGGCCTCCGCCTCGGCCTCGTCCCCCGCCGCCAGCAGCGTCGCCTGCTCCCTGGCGAGGCCGCGGAGGTGCTGGAGAGCCGCCTGCCCGTGCCGGCCAGCTGTCTCCAGTTCCAGAGGCACCATCCGCCAGGGCGCCTGCCTCGCCGGGTAGCCGCGGTGTTTGTCTGCCCTCCTCCTCCTCCTCCTCCTCCTCCTCCTCCTCCTCCTCCTCCTCCTCCTCCTCCTCCTCCTCCTCCTCCTCCTCCTCCTCCTCCTCCTCTCCTCCTACTCCTCCCTCCTCTCCTCATCCTCTCCTCCTCCTCCTCCTCCTCCTCCTCCTCATCACCATCATCATCATCATCATCATCATCATCATCAGCAGCATCATCATCATCATCATCATCATCATCATCATCATCATCATCATCATCATCATCATCATCATCATCATCATCATCATCATCATCATCATCATCATCATCATCATCATCATCCCCCTCCTTGTTCTGGCGAGCCAATTTTCCAGAGTCGGAGCGGCCGCGCCGCCCAGGCCGCCGGGCCGCCCAGCCTTTCGCACCCGCTTCCTGCGATGGCGCGCCTGCCCGCGGCCCTCCGCATCCTCGCCGTCGCGGCCGCGGCGGCCGGCCTGCCGCCCGAGGCGCCGCCGCCGCCGCGGGCGTGCTGCGCCGCGGAGACGGCGGCCTGCCTGGCCTGCCGGCAGGGCGTGTCGGTCGCGAGTCGGGGGCCTTCGGAGTCTCAAGGGAGGAAAAGCCACCCGGACCGGACAAATGGCGTGTACTATAAACGGTCCTGGGCGCTTTCTAGACAGCCCGGCCCTGCTTGAGTCCTTCTTTGGGCGCGTTTGCTGAACGGCTTCGCGTGTCGGGGCGGTCCTTATCGGGGTGGATTTTCTGCCCTCTGTGAGTCGGGAGCCTCGAGACGGGGGGTCAGTGCAAACGGAGGTCAGCCAGAGCGCCGGAGCTTGCAGGGTCCTGCAGAGCTGGGGTCGGGCAGGTGGTAGTGGGGGGCGGCGGGGGCCCAGAAGGGGCCCCCAGGGGCCCCTTAAGGGCCTCTTCTTCGCCCCCCAGTTAGACCACCCCGCATTGCCATCCGCCCGACACGGGTGCATTGGCCCGGGCCGGCGCGCAGGATCCTGCAGGACCCTGCAGGACCCTGCAGGATCCTGCAGAGCCCGACTGGCCCGGGTTTGCACTGGCCCGGGCCCGTGGGTCCCCGAGCGGGGAGGAGCTGGGTGTTGCCAGAAGTGCCCCTGGCCCAAGGTGCCCCCCAAGGAGTTCCAAGGAGGCACCCAGGGCCTCCCGAGCACCACCCACGATGCTCAGAGGGCCCCCCAGGGGCTCCGAGGGGGAGGGGGAGGAGGAGTCGGTCGCGCGCAGCAGAAGTCCCCGGCCTTGTCTGTAAGTGTAAGGCTGGCGCCTTCTAAGAAGCGGCCTCTTTCTAAGAAGCCTTCCCCCCTCCCCCTACCCCCTTGTGCGCGCCGACAGAGGAGGAGAGGAGGAGGAGGAGGAGGAGGAGGAGGAGGAGGAGGAGGAGGAGGAGGAGGAGGAGGGAAGCCGACTGGCATGGCGTGTCGGCCGCCAGGGGCAACGATAGCACGTCGATAACGACGATTGCGACGGTACGTTCGACTACACGTGGGGGTGACCGCTTGCCACAGTGACCTTTGGTGCGGGCTCCCCGATCGCTGAATGATCTGCGGCAGCAGCGGCTTCCGCGCTTGGGTTTGGCCCCTTTGCGCCCCCCAAAGCCGCGCACCAGAGGTCATCTGTGCCTCTTGCCCAGGGTCGCTCTTGCGTGCCTCCGATACTCGGCAGTGGGTTAGGCACTGACGCTCGCCTGCGCTCGCTCGCCTGCGCTCGCGTCTTGACCGGTTGGCCGCGAGACGGTGCGGCCTCCAGCCGGGGGGCACCATCTCTGGGCCACGGGGTCACTCCGAGGTCGTCCCGGGGCCGTCCTGGGATCGTCTCGGCATCATGCGGGGGTGATCCTGGACCCATGTTGGGGCCATACTTGGGTCCCCGGTTTGCCATGTGGCCATCCTGGGGGTCGTCTGGGGGGCGCGGACTCGTCGCGAGCTGGCGGGGGGATAGGCTCAGGGTGGGGACGCATCGACCCCGCATGGCCCACTCGTCGCCGATAGGGGCCCGATAGGCCCTACTCCGCCTAGGAACGTGCGAATTTGCCGTCGGGGCCTATCGCCGATCCATCGGCGACGTATCGTCGATTCCAGCTCTTTGCCATCGGGGCCTATCGCCGATCCATCGGCGACGTATCGTCGATTCCAGCTCTGGCCCCCTGGTGGCTTTCGGGTTACAGCTCGGGTGTCCAGCGGCCGTTGGGGACGTCCTGGGAGCCCCAGGGACGCTCTTGGCGAGGCGTAGCTGCTGGAGAGCTCCCCGAGGCTGGAAAACCGCCGAGAACCGACGAGACCATGCGAAAGCCTGCCTCGAACCTCTAGCGATAACTTCGAACTTCGAACCTCGGGTCCCCCCCGATCGTTGCGCCTCAGGTCGGCGACCTCTGCGCGGGGCACCCCCACACGGCCGGCTGCTGGCCGGTGCGAGCGTGCTGCTCGGCCCCGACTGCAGGCTGCCTCGCCTGCGAGCGGGGCGTCTCCCCCGAGGATCGGGGAGCAAATGATGGCAAAAGCCAGGGCGGAGTTATGGCCGACTCGAGGTCGATGTTTCCCCGCTGAGGCGGAAGCGGCCCCCCCCTCAATGTTCAGGCTTGAGGGTGGAAGTCACGGGTAACAGGGCAGGGTGGAGATCTCTGAAGTAGTGGCGAAGCGTCCTGGCTTGCCTGTAGACCCACCAAAGAATGTTCTGAGAACCTTTGTCGTTTGCACGACATGTTCTTTAAACATTTCTGGCTGAGATCGTCTTGTTTGAATGCATCGGTCTTACGTTCTGAGAACATTGCTTTTGTTCTTAGAACATGTTCGGGTTCTACGAACAGGGTTCTAAGAACATGTCGTGGTAGGCCTTCTGGAATGCCGGGACGGTCGGTACCTGCTAAACAGGGCAGGGTGCAGATCTCAGGCGGCGGGGCGCGCGGAGGTGCAAAGCGTCGTTAGGGTGCACACGTGCGGGCGGCGGGGCACCACCCACCAAACCACCCCAGCCCATCCCGAAGGCCCCAATTTGCAAAGAAAAAGCGCCATACCCATAAGCTTTTGGCACTCCGCGCGGGTTTCTTGGCTCCGCGTTGAGCCTCCCCGGCAGCGCCTCTGGCGCCGCCCCTGGCGCGCTCCGCGCCCCAGGGAGGGGGGGCCGACGCGGATCCAAGAAATCTGCGCGGAGCGCCAAAAGTTTATGTTTATGGCGTTTATTTTTCTTTTTCTTCCTCTTCTATCCCAGTGGGGGGGGGTCGGGGAACATTGAAAAACACATCTGCAGCCCGTACCCCCCCAACCTGAAATACGGGTCTTCGGGTTGGGTTGGGGTGGCCTGGTAGGTAGTCAGCGGGTGGGCAGTGGGAGGCCTGAGCGGTGTTTGGGGCGACTTCGTGGGCCGTTTTCGCTTGGTTTTCCGTTTTGCAGCAGAGACGGAGGGAAGACAGGACGAATCATAATGACAACAAACGAGAACGAACAACGCGCACTTCTGCGAGACAAACATGGAGAACGACGACAAACGAGAACAACACAGAACGAGAGCATGACGAATGCGAGCGACAACAAAACAAGAACGACAACGAAGCGAGAGCGAGCCGGTACAAACGTAATCTTCTGGAGGTCCGCGCGGAGCCGCCCGGCGCCGCCCCTTGCGCTCCCCGCGCCAGTGAGGGGGGCCCAGCGCCGATCCAAGCAATCCGCTCGGACTTCCTACAGTGGGGGCGCGCATCAAGACACCATTCGTGCTTCGTCAGGGCGCCCTGGGTTTGGCCGATTCTCGCGCTGCGCAGCGACTTCCTGCGGCCGTTCAGAAGCTGCTGCGTTCGAGCTGCTCTGGGTTCCTCAGCTGTACACCTTAGGCGATGCTTAAGAAAACCCAAGTTTTCGGCCAGAGTCTCGATTATTCTTAACGTTTCAATGTAAATCCTAAGATTTCAATAGAAATGTTGGGTTTTTATTCAAGTTCTGAGACTATGAATTTCTTAACCCATGATTTCTTAACCATTTCGCAGGGTGTACTTCGCGCGCTGGTTTTCAGGGTTGGGGTTTTGTGCGAGGCTTTCGTGCGACCGCGCCCGCACCTGTGAGCATATAAGCTGCCGGAGCTCCGCGCGGAGTTCTTGGATCGGCGCGGCCCCCCCCCCCCCCAGGGCAGATGGAGAGGAGGAGGAGGAGAGGAGGAGGAGGAGGGAGGAGGAGGAGGAGGAGAGGAAGGAGGAGGAGGGAGGGGACCCCCCCCCTGACCCTGACGGCGCTCCTGGCGCGCTCCGCGCGCCGGGAGGAGGGTCCGGGGCCGATCCCAGAGATCCGCGCGGAGCTCCTTCACGTGGGCGCCCCTCCTCCCTCCTCATCCTCCTCCTCCTCCTCCTCCTCCTCCTCCTCCTCCTCGATCCAGGAAGTCCGCGCGGGCCTCCGAAAGGTTACGTTCATGCCGCCTTTGGCTCCTCTATGGAGAGGAGTACTGCGCGGAGCACCCAGACACTGCCGGCTGCGGGGCGGCACCTGTGGTCCGGGCCACCCTGGCCCGGGGCAGTCTGCGCGCAGGGTCCTACGAGCCAGAAGGTGTTCCTGCCAGCCCGTTGAGCGACGCCTCGCCTCGCAGGCTGTCCCGAGACGCCTGCGGAGAAGAGCTGTTCGAATACGAGGAAGGCGAGCCGATCCAGATGAACTGGAATCTCGAGCACGTCGGATGGTCTTTCCTGGTCTCCACTATCGGGGCCTACGTCGCTCTCACTTCCGCCATGATCGATGTTAAGTCGGTGCGGGGGAGCCACTGGTACTGGGTACTGCTGGCACAGGCGGGCTGCTCGCTCGGTGTCACCAGCGTCTGGTCCATGCACTTCATCGGCATGTACGCCCTGGAACTGAAGAGTCCAGGTAAGCCGATGGTCGAGATACAGTTTGAGCCCGTTCTCACTATCATATCTGGGCTTGCCGCGTGGCTGATCGTTTGCATCGCTCTCCACCTCATACTCGGCCAGGATCACTTCGGCGACAGGCGCACCCTGGAGAAGCGTCTCCAGGGGCTCTCTAGCTGCAGCAAGGCGGGCTGGTTGCTGCGCCGGCTGCCTCTGAAGCGGCTGACGATGGCATCGGTGCTGGTGTCCGTGGGCGTGGTGGTGATGCACTACATGGGCATGCTGAGCCAGACTGGCCATTTCTGGATGGAGTTCAGCGCCGGGAACATCTTGGGAAGCATGGTGGTGGCTGGGGTGGCCTCCTGGATCGCGCTGCCGATCTTCGTCATCAGCTTCGACAGCATGGTCTTCCGGTTCGGAGCGTCTTTCGGGATCGGGGTGTTTGTGAACAGCATGCACTACACTGGCATGACAGCAGCGACGTATTACTACTCCAGCAATCGGGGCGGCGTTTTCGGCGCTGACACGATGTCCATCTCCTTGAAAAGCACTGACGTCGTCATCTTCACGCTCATCTTGGATTTGGTCTTGATGGGGTTTACAGGGTATTATGTGGAGCTGGCCCGCGAGCTCGTGAAGAAGGAGGAACGCGATGTGGAGAGGAAGCTCGCCTTCGAGAGCCACAAGAACAACGTGAAGAGCCTCATCGCTGAGTCCAGGATCATGAGCTACCCCATGTGCCTAATGCGCTACGACACTTTTTCGAAGCTTGGCAAGCTGGTGCCGCACGAGCAGCTGCGAGATACTCACAAGCTCGTCTACCTGAACACTGTGAGGTCTGTGCTACGACTGAAAAGGCGGAAGTACTACATCATATTCTTCTGGAAGAGCAAAACACGGCATGCGCATAAATCTTCGATGGTCCGCGCAGGTTCCTTGGGTCGGCGCCAGGGGGGTATCAGCGCAGACCCAAGAAATCCGAGCAGACCTCCGAAAGTTTACGTTTGTGTGATTCTTTGTTTTTCTGTTTTCTCTCACCAGTGGCTCTCCCGGATGCTCCCAGACCCCGCGAACGACCACTACATTGACATGATGTCTGCGCTGCAGGGCCTCGCACAGATGTTCAAGGTGAGGCTCGATTCCCTCTACATTTTTGTCGACTACAGCAGCATCCCGCAGCAGGGCCAGAGAGTCCAGAAGTTGGCCATAGACTCGTTGGCCACATACGTATCACTCAGCTCGGCCTTCGTCATCGTCAGTCCCCAGACGGTGCACAGAGACTCATCGGCGCTCTGCAATTTCGACACCTATTCGAAGCGCTTCTGGTGCCGCCTGGAAGTGTTCTGTACGATCCTTGCCAGCCTGCGAGAGAAGGAGCTCAAGGCGGTTGAGGCTGGCCAGATTCTGGAGGAAGACGAGGCGCAGCTCGAGGAGTCCGCCAAGGTTGCGGAGGATGAGACGCAGCAAGTGGCGAGCAAGATGTCGGAGCTCACCCAGCAGCAGCGCGTGTTCGTCGTGGTCAAGAACTCGCTGCACGCCCTGAATTTTTTCACGCCCGCTGGGGAACTCCAGCCACGGTACCACGACCTGCTGCGGCTGTTCGAGGGGCAGACCACGTGCTGCGATCAGGGCCATCAAGAGGGCGATGAGCAACTCTGCGACAAGTGCAGGGTGATAGACAGCCTCACTGGTGCCTATGGAGCCCTGCTGCAGGACCTCCGCAAGGCCAAGCGCAACCAATCGCGGGGAATTGTTAGCCAAGTGCCGTCGGAGACCCTCAGGCTCGTCGAGGAAATCGTTCGCCAGCGTGCGGACATCTTCCCCTCGAAGTATTTCGAGACCCGCATCGACGCCGTGCACGCTCGCCTCGACCGCGGGCTCGTCACTGGTGGCAGTGGCGATGGCGACGAGCGCATGGCCACGGCCAGGGAAGATGACGAGGACAGGCGGTCGGTAGATTACACCGACGACTCCTCTGACACCAGCTCGCATGCCTCCAGTGAGCAGAGCTCGGCTGGTCTGAGCAATGGTCTGCTCAGGCAGGAGTCGGAGTCGGGACGGGAGTCGGTCAATGAAGTCTGATGCGGATGGTCGCACTGGGCGTCCAGGATCATGTATCATATCGCCGAGGAGCTCGCTGGCGCGGTTGGCTGCGAACCGGCTGGGGCGTCGCCACAACGTCCCAGGTGGCAGCGGCGTCGATTGGCCTTTCGTTGCGATGGAGGGCATATGCACGTGGGTGTTGGCCGCAGATTCTCTCGACTCAATTTAAGTTTTCGTTGCGGAGAAGTTCCCCGATGTGGGCCAGATCTGCGGCCGGACCCTGACCGCGGTGTTCCCCACGCTTGGCTCTGCTAGCGCCGCCGACGTGTAATGGCTCAGAAAGCGCACGTGTTGGGTGCTTTCTGGACCCTGTAATTATCGTGATCGCGGCTCTCGCGCCTCAGCCGCTGCAAGGGAGGCTGGTAGGCAGCGCGAGGGGGGCGCCATACCCAGCGCCGGAGCCCTGGCTGTGCCAGGCTGGGCTGCCCCACGCTGCCGCGCAGGCTCGGAACATGGGATCACCTCCCTGGGGCCGCTCGCCCCTGCAATGGGCCCCCCAGTACCTGTCATGCGCTGGCGCCCAGCCCGGCGCATCCACACACACACACACACACACACACACACACGCACACACACACACACACACGCACACACACGCACACGCACACGCACGCACACGCACACGCTCTCTCCGAGGATTACACCAACGATGCCCACTTCCCGCGTGTCGTTCCCTGGGTGTGCCACAGATGCGCCAAGAAGGACCGCGTGGCAGGCGCTGCCCCAGCCCCAGCAACCACCCGCGCTGCGAGGCGGGCCCCACCCCCGAGAGAGAGAGAGGGCGGGAGGGAGGGAAGCACGGAAGACCGGGAGGGAGGGAGGGAGAGGAGGGGGCAGGCCAGACAAGAAGGAGACGCCTTCCACACCGCCTCAAGGCGGGCCAAGTAGGGCCCAGCTGGGCTCCATGACGGCCCCAGGGGCGCCCACGGTCCTAAGATGGGCTCAAGAGGGGGAGCATGAACCGACATTTCGAGTTTTTCGCCCCGAGAGGCTCGAAGGTTCCAGGACGGCCGCAGGCAGGCTTCAGTGGGCGCCCGAGGCCCCAGACGAGTGCCTCGAGAGGCACAAATCTCGAATTTCCCTAGGGCTTTTCCCCATATCCGAAGGATGGGGCTCTTGTTCCCCCTATCCTATGATGGTGTGATTGTTATTACTTAGGCGCCTCGGACCTCAATCCTCCTCCTCCTCCTCCTCCTCCTCCTCCTCCTCCTCCTCCTCCTCCTCCCCTCCTCCCTCTCTTCCCCATCATATTCAGAGTATGATGATGCACTCAGAGTATGCTGATGCCGAATTAAGACGATAAGAGTGCGGTGACGACAATGATAATGCAGATTATGATGATAATGATGATAATGATGATGCTGATGATGCTGATGATGATGATGATGATGATGATGATGATGATGTGTTACGTTACTCTTTGCCATGCTATTCCCATATCCGAAGGATGGGGTTATTGTTATTCCCCATCTTCTAAGATGTGGTTCTTGCTTACTTAGACGCCTCGGACCTCACTCCTCCTCCTCCTCCTCCTCCACCTCCTCCTCCCCCCTCCTTCCTCTCTCTCCCCCATCTGACTTAGAGTATGATGGTGCATTCAGAGTATGCTGATGCCGAATGATGACTATAAGTATGGTATGATATGTTATACAATGGTATGTTATGTTGTGCTATGATATGCTCTGTTACGTTATTCTAGGCTATGGCATGTTTTGTTATGATGCGATGGTGGTGATGATGATTATGATGATGCTGATGATGGTGATGGTGATGGTGATGGTGATGGTGATGGTGATGATGATGATGATGATGATGATGATGATGATGATGATGATGATGATGATGATGATGATGATGATGATGATGGCCGTGTTTGCACATCTCATCTTCAGTGGAACCGAAGGCCGCCGTGGTCACGCATCATCGCCGCGACCGCGTCGGCTCAAGTCTTTTTCTGGAGGTAGAGGCCTCCACCCGGATGCAGCTTAGTTCCGTTTTCGGCCTCCCGTTTGCAGGCGACGCCATTCTCCTGTACCTGGCGCGCTGGCGGCTGCTGCCCGCCGCGCCCGCGGGTCCCGCCGCGCCCGCCGCAGCGGCGGCCCCCCCGCGTGAGGAGGCGAGCCCGCTCCCGGCGCCGGGCGTGACAGCTGGGGTCCAGGCGCCGCTGGCTGACTGCCTGGCGGCCGCCTGGGACGCGAGGGGAGGCAGCGCGCGCGTGCCCCCCTCGCCTTGCCGCCAGTGCCCTGTCTGCGACGAGGGTTGCGGGCCGCGGCTTTCCCCAGCGTGGGAGGCGACGGTGTACGTCGGGGTGTTGCTGGCCTCCGAGCTCCTGCGCAGGGGGCTCTCGCTCGCCGCGGCCGCCGCCAGACCCCCTTGTCGGGGCCGCACTCGGCAGCCCGCGCTGGACGGCGACCTCCACGTGAACGTGCAGCAGCCTGGGTTGGTGGAGTCGCCTGACCGACGCGAGCAGCAGATCTGGCGGGCTGGGCCGCGTCACGTGATCTCGGTCAGCGATGAGATTTGGATTGAGTGCGACGAGCCTGGGGCGCGGCTTGCGCCCATGCGCATCGTCGCGGCGCTGTCATCCCGAGGGCATGAGTGAGCACCACGCAGTGCTCACATCCGACTTCGAGGTCTACGTCGAGAATCGTGACGCGGGGCACACGGTCATCCGCAACTGCTGGAAGGAGAGGGGCCCTGGCGCAGCCCCGCTGGACGCCTTCATACCCCCTGGGCTGCGACGGCATGACTTCGCCGCCATGCCACTGGTCGCCCAGCTGGCCCGAGCCTTCGCGCTCCGAGCCGCGAAGACGGCGGAGCACGGGCGCGGCCTGGGCGAGGGTCTTCCTGCTGCTGCCCCCCCTCCGGGCGCCGCTAGTCGCGGTGGCCTGCCCGCTCCCCCAGCGGCTGGAGGCCGCGCGCCGCTGGGAGGCCGCCCCGCCGCAGGCGTGCCTGCGGCGATCGGCGGCTCCGCTGCAGCCGCCGCGGCCCCCGCCCCAGCAGCCGCTGGCGGCGCGGCGTGCGCCCATGCAGTTGGTGGCGGGCTCGCTGGGATTGTTGCCTTGGTTGCCGCCGCCCCCGCCGTTGGAGACCGCCTCGCCGCTGCAGCCCCCGCGGCGCCCGACGGCGCTGCTGCCTCAGGGCCTGGGGGCCAGCGGGCGCTCACTACGGCTTGCGGCATGCTGGGCCAACGGCATCGGGAATCCAGGGACAGCGGGCCGTTCATGCATCCGACGATTTCCCCCGACTGGCTTTTGCCGGGCACCCCCGCGCACCGCTGGGTCGCGACAGACTGGGTGGAGAACAGGGGCTCACCGACGGTGTACCATCTCGCCTGGAAGGCTGCGTTGGGATCCACATGCCCGTTGACGGTCCCATGGTCTCGATGCATCTCGAGTTTCCCAAGATCATGCGGTTCGCCCAGTCATGCGACCAGCTCGACGAGTCGAACCTGGCGTCCATGGAGCTGGTCGGGCGGCAGCGTCAGCCCTGCGAAGATCGGTACAACAACAAGTTGGTCTCCTCACGGCTGCTCGTCACTGACGGTGATGAGCAGTGTTTCTTCGCGGAGATGCAGTGCGACAGAGAGCTCATGGTCTGCCTTGCCCTGTCCGAGTGGATCCCGAAGCAGCTGGCTGCCGAGTCGGCCATCGCGAAGGAGCGCCGCATGGCGCGCGAGGAGCGGCAGCTGCTCCACCCGCCCGCTGGCGGCCGCGGCGGTGGACAGGGCAGGCGCGCTGGCAGGACAACCCAGTCCTAGCCGGCGCCCAGCGGCGTTTGTGCAGCGGTCGCCAGGACTCCGGCCATCCTGGAGGGTTCCCTCTCGGCCCCATCGCTCCTGATTGCCCATGGCTGTCAGTCGTCAGCGAAACGCTCTTCCCTTTCCTCTTCTACCTCGCGAAGTTCCCCCAGATGCCGGCGGTCGCGGCGGTGCTCTGGCTCGGATCGACTGGGCCAGCGACGGCATCGAGGCGATCAACTGGATTGGTGGGGGCGGGGCGCCGCCTACTCGGAAGCGCCCCTCAGTTTTGCAGCAACGGTCGCTCGACGACATTGCTGCGCAGTATGTCAAGTTCGGCGGCCCGCCAGCTGACGCATCCCGCTCCAACTCGCTCCCCGACTTATGCTCTAGCTGCCCGCTCTACTCTGAGGGGCGTGGCAACGTGGTCTCCTACAGCAAGGACCTTGTGTCCTGGCCTTCTGGCGGCTCGGCGCCTGTCGCGCTGCGCGACGCCCTTCTGGAGGCCGACCGTCTATGGTTGCAGGACTGGAAGGCCCATATGCTTCACCCACCTGATGAAGCAGCGGCCCTTCGACGGCACCTCGGACTTTCTCAACCCTATATCGATCCTAAGCTCCGTCACCCTGCCACCTACGGCGAGTTCATCCGTGAGCTCTTGGGCAGGGGCATGCTGCGCCTTTCTCCCGCTCGCGGCCGTCGGGGGCTCCCAGGGGCTTTCGCGGTCGCCAAGAAGTCGGGCCAGCGGCGGCCCATCTTCGACAACCGCGTCTGCAACGCGCGTTCCATGTCACCTCCCTGCACCGAGCTGCCCAGCGGTAGCGCCTTCGCTCGCATGGAGACGCAGGGCGGCGGCGACGCGTGGTTCAGCGGCGGGGACATCTCCAGCGCCTTCTACGCCATGCAGGTCCCCGAGGGCCTCTGTGAGTACTTCTCGTTGCCACCTGTTCGCGCTGGACTTGCGGGCATCTCTGAGCTCGACGGCGCCGCTGTTCACGAGTCCGAGCGGTTGCTTCCCGAGCTCACCATCCTGCCGATGGGCTGGTCCTGGGCGCTGCACCTCTGCCAGTGCGTCTCGGAGGCCGCGCTCACCCGTGCCCGCATCGGCCCCGCGCAGCAGGTCCGTGACCGCAGCCGTGGCGTGGTTCTTGCACCCCCGCTGCCCGTTGCGGGCGCCGCGTACGACGACGGCTACCTCGTCGCAGGCCCGCAGCGGGTCAAGGTTCAGTCCGCGGGCCGCAAGGTTGAGCGGGGACTCTCCTCGCTCGGCTCTGTCGTCCACGAGCAGGTCGAGGCAACCAGGTCGACCAGCTTTGTCGGGCTCGAGCTCGACGGGCATCACCACTCCGCGCGGGTCTCTGCGCGCCAAGCCTGGCGGCTCCGCTTCGCCATCGAGGAGCTGTTCCGACGGCCGAAGGTTCGCGGGTCCATCGTGGAGATCGTCGTGGGCCATTGTACCTGGGTCATTCTGCTCAAGAGGTGCCCCCTGGCCATCTTCGACTCGGTCTACGCCTTCATTGCCTCCGCGAAGGACAAGGCGATGCCGCTCTGGCCGTCGGTGCGGCGCGAGCTCTGGCATGTCCGCTCGCTGCTGCCGCTCTTCGTCTTCTTCGCCAGCGCGGACTGGCACGACGAGGTCACCGCCAGCGACGCCTCGGGCCGGGGCTGCGGGGTCTGCCGCCGTCGGTGCGACCGCGACGCGGTGGCCGAGATCGGCCGCGCGGCCGAGAGGTGGCGCTATCTTTTCGAGGAGTCAGCTCGCGCGCGCGACCGCGCCCTGGGACCTGGCTCTCCTGGCGCCGTGCTTCGTGACCCTGGCGGTCTGCC